TGAAACTGTCACATCTACGTTTTTTCCTAGAGAATGCATTCATGAATTATTGCTCCTCAGTTCTTATTAGAAGTTCTGTTGTGAGAAGGCAACATTCATAGATTTCTCAAGGACATGATTCATTTATTCTTTTAGAGTAGTGGTTCTGTACTTAAAACAGTAACCTCTTTGAAAATTTCCTGCAAACTGTGGACTCTTGACTGAAAAATGCATTTGTACACATGCATATATTTAAGTTCAGGATCCTCTTGGTCCCTCAGTATCCCATGTATGCTAGGTAAGGACCCTTGCTCAAAAGTACAGTTAAATCTTTAGATAAAGCCTGCATCAAAAGGGCTATGTACTCAGATCACGTGGTTTTACTCTCCCTGATTTGAATTGCTTTTATTGGATCGTACATTGTTATGCTTCACTCGATATTGAGGAACATTTTGAGAAACGGTTCTGTGAAATTCACTTATGTTTTCATTGTAGTAATTGGAGACTTTGTCCCTATTTCAGTTTTTCACAGCATCATGAGATTGCAGTCCATTAGTGGGGTGTGAAATGAATTTTGTGGTCTCAACCACCAAATATTTCTGGGGTTTGTATTGGTTTTTTTTGTGTGTGTGATATTTAATACTAATAATTCGTATTTGATTTTAATGCTACTCTTTCCTTTTTAATAAGTGTAAGTATTATTTCATGAAGCTTTTAGTTTTTTTTATGTGTTTACTGGATTACTGTGTAAAATGTGTTTCTTAAATATATTTTGGGGTCAAAAAAGTTTGAAAACTGTACTCTATCCTACTTTCTCTTAACATGGACTCAGGAGAAATTTTTTTTCTCTTTATTCTCTTCTGTAAAATGGGAATAATAATAATTGCTACTTCATAGGGAAGTAGTGAAGAGTAAATGTATCTAAAGTGCTTAGAACAGTGCTTCCTAGCACATTGTAGGTGGTGCTCTTGTTACCGGGAAGAGCAGTCTTCAGGGTTAATGCTTTGTTTTATCTTACATTAAAAGACTTGTTATTAAAGATGTCCTTTATTTTGGCTGGTAAAAAATGAGAAGCTCAGAGATAAATTTGTGGCAAAAGATTAATAATTAATTCTTTGCCTTCCCTTGGCCCTAATTCTGTCACTTTAAAAATTTTGTTTTATCTTTGTAAGCAGTTTATATCAGAATCATCAAAATATGCCATTTTAATTTTTATTTAATTCCATTATAATTTCAGAGATATTTTCATATTCACGAAAGGTAGAGGCTCTTGTGAACATCCACTGCCTGTATTAAGCTTGTAGATTAATGAAACTTCAGATCTCCATCATGGTTAGTTTCTGTCTCTCTTTAGCTATATGGTTTAGTCCAACACAGAAGAGAATCTTGGTAGCTATATTAGCTATCTGCCTTATTGAACAAACGTGTAAGCCCAGTTAAACTTATGCTATGTGGAAGCAGCGCTTTCAACAATAGCCATATTATGGAAAGAGGCTAAATGTCCATCAACTGACAAATGGATAAAGAAGATGTGGTTTATATATACAATGGAATACTACTTGGCAATGAGAAAGAATGAAATCTGGCATTTGTAGCAACGTGGATGGAACTGGAAGGTATTATGCTAAGTGAAATAAGTCAGTCAGAGGAAGATACCATATGTTTTCACTCATATGTGGATCTGGAGAAACTTAACAGAAGACCGCGGGGGAGGGAAAGGGGGAAAAATAGTTACAAACAGAGAGGGAGGGAGACAAACCATGAAAGACTCTTAAATACAGAGAATAAACTGAGGATTGATGGGGGGAGGGGATGGTGGGGGAGAGGGGAAAATGGGTGATGGGCATTGAGGAG